AGTACCGGAATACATTGAACTGATTTATCAAAATATACTTCTAGAAAAAACGCATCACAAAGTCATTATGGCAAATGGTGAAAGAAGTATCTGGAAATGGAAAAGAAATCAAAATAAAACACATTAGAAATGAGGAATGTCAACTTATCTATAATCAAAAAAATATTACAAATACTTTCAATAAACCTTCGCTTGTAGGGCGCAACCATGCAAAGAATATTCAGCAACCTGCCATTCCTCCTATCAAAAGAAATTACTTATCACAATCAATTTTTCTCATTACTACAACAGAAAAAGAAATAACTGAATCAATATCATCTCTGAAGATAAAAAATCACCAGGTATTGATGTTATTAGAGCAAAAACACTGCACCAAACCAAACATGAAATAATGAAGAAAAGAGAATTGAAAATTTCTATGTTTTTTACCATATTTATTTGTTACTAACGTTACTGCAGTTTCTTCCTATAAGGATATTTTCAAACTTATACATCAATGTATAAGTTATACATTAATGTATACGTTTGAAAATATCCTTGAAGGACGAAATTGCAGTAACATTACTTACAAATAAAAGTGGTAAAGAACATAAAAAGTTTCAATTCTCATTTCTTCATTATGTAACGGCTACATCCATCAATTTATTGAAACATGAAATAGCTTTTTCTTTGAAGATTGTGATTAATAAAGTAATAGAAACAGGAAATTTCCCCAAGGAACTGAAAATAGGTTTAATTAAACTAGTCCATAAAAAGGACGATAAAGAAATCTCCAATTACAGGCTTATTACATTAATTTCAAGTAAAGCAAAAATGATTAGAAAAAATAATCAAAAAAAGAATAACTTTATACACTAATAAACATAATATAATTTCAAAAAACCAATCTGGCTTCAAAGAAGGTGTATCCACACAAGATGCAATATGCTTTCTCACATCCAAAATACCAGGAAATCTAGAAAAAGCAAACCATCGCTTTGTGTATTCTTGGATCTTGCTAAGACCTTCGATACTGTGAACCATTCACAGCTATTGGAGGCTTTGCATGACCTAGGTTTCAGAGGAAACACGTACACTCTCATGAAAAGTTACCTGAGTGATCGCGAACAGTATGTTAATATTGATACTACCATCAGTGAAAAACGAGTTGTGGAGTGTAGAATTCCACAGGGAACTGTTTTAGGGCCCATTTTTTTCACGATCTACATGAATAGCATACTAACATTCGATACCTCTGGGACACTAATATGCTTCGCTGATGATACAGCCGTTTTGTATGATGCCGATACCTGGAATGAACTGAAAATGAAATCACAACATGACATGAGTAAACTTATTGATTGCTTCAATTAAAAAGATGTTATCAATAGATTATGAAAAAACTTGTTACTTACCGTTTTCTTGTCATACCAATACCTTCTCTCAGTATGACTCGTTAAAAATTGACAACCATGGCAACGATATCACTAGTCAATCATCAGAAGCAGTCAAATACTTGGGAGTGATTATTGACAGACATATGAGGTGGAATTATCTGTTGACCAAGTTACAAAAACATTGCGCAGTACTTTATACTAATTCAAAGATCTAATAAATATTCTAGACATTACCCAGAAGACAATTATTCACTACGCACTTATTAAATCGCGACTAACATATGGAATTCTCAACTGGGGTGGGATAGCATCAACACATCTGAAAAAACTAGATATACTGCAGAAAAAGAACTTAAAAATTGTTTAACGCAAACCAGTTAAATACGCATCAAAATTACTATTTGAAGAGGCAAAAATATTGGATATGAGGCAACTACATTTTGTCAAAGTTTACAATGAACAGTATAAAAATCGAATGATTCTTAATTATTTAGATCACATCCATAATACAAGATATAAAGCTAAAGCACCTCTCACTACAATATATTCCTCAAAGACATCACCTAACCTACCTCCACTTAACTAGCGGATAGGCTTTTTAATTTTTACCCCTGTTAACAAGAGAAGCGCCAACTATTCAAGAAAAAACTAGTTGCTATCTCTTTAGTCTGGATAGATCTGCTATTCACAAATCAATTGATCCTATATTTAGATAATTCCTGTATCTGTTTTTTTTTCATCTAATTGATTCATCACAAATATTTCCCATCTGTATTACTGGTTTTATTATTGTATTGTATTTTCATTTCCTTCACATTATTGTTGTAATACCAAACATATCTATACTTTTATAAATATTATATCCTATATATAATGTAACCGTATTCCTTTGCTTATATGTCTACAATCCACGCCCTGGCTTTGCCTTAGTGGATTCGTTGTTTGTTTTCATATATATGAAATATGATGGTGATGATGAATAAACAGTATTTTATATATATAAAGTGGATAATTTTAGCGACTGGAGAAATCAACAGCATGTAAGTATGAATTGTAATGTTTTTCGATGGCAAAAAAACCAACAACTCAATAAATTGTAGGCCCTGAAGAAGCTTCCCATTAGAAGCGAAAGCTTGGCAAAGTATCAAGAATCCAATATATTGCTTTGCTGACGACAGCACACTTGTCTCGTCATTCCATTTGGATTCCAGGACATCGGCTACAGAGGCACATCTTCACCGACAGCAGGAGGTTGCATATCTTATTAAGGGTCTGGAAGTGATTGCGAATTGGGGTGAAACTAACCAGGTTCAATTCAATGCCACAAAAACCCAGGAATCGGTTTTCTCCGAACCGTATATAATAATGTCAGGTCAGACAATTCTACTTTCTGCTTCGATAAATTTGTTGGGGGTTAAAATGGACACCAATATGTCTTGGCACAATCATGTCGCTGGAATTGCAAAGGATGCTCTCAAAAGCTTGGAATACTGTTCCGAACCAGAAAACTGTACACACCTCGGCAAATTTTGATGCTTTATGAAGCTCAGATCAGACCTTTTTTGGATTAATGTTCTCATTATGGAGCCTTGCCCCTAAGCATACCCTGAAGCTGCTGGATTCCATCCAGAAAAGAGCCACCCGCCTAACTGGAGACGCGAACGTCACTTACTCTCTTCTATAGATACTTTCACGAGAAGTGATCAAGTGACTTAACACATTCGATTTCACCAAGAGCGGTACATATAAGAAATACGCGACAGACTGTGGCTGCTCATCGTTTTCAGGTTCAACTCAGTATACCTCAAACCTTACTGTTCAAGAACTCTTTCATTTGGAGAACTGGGTTTATAAATTTCCTAAGAACTTTTTCCAAATGGATTTAATCTCCAGCAAGTCAAATCCAATGTGAATCGCTATTTCCGTACAGGCACCAGTCTTGGAGATTTTGAGGATCTTTTTCGTAGTGCTTGTGTGCAATAAAACACAAAAATACGGGAGCTATGAATTCAAGTGATCCTGGACGTTATTCAATGCTGCACCCCTACAACTAATCCAGTGTCGTATGCAAATTGTTGAATAGTGAGGGTCATTTGTTGTTTTCGTATTATATGTTGATTGGTCGTCAGTATTTGAACCAGCATTTTTCAGATCATCGGTTGAACTGAGGCTTTCACGGTCACAATCATCTAGTGAAGATTTGCTTCATAAAAATCGACAAATGTCGTTCATTGACGCCAGAAATGTTTCGGAATATAATAATAATAATAATATAATATAGTAGTATATAATAAATAATTAGTAGTAATGATAACAATTGGTATCATTGTTAGCAGAAAAAACAGGTTACACAAATTTCATATTCTGTTCTGCTTCAAACATTTTTTTCGTTATTGTATGGATGCAAACTGTCATCATTTTATATATTTAGATAATCAATTGAGTAGTAATTGAAAATCTAAACGAATTTAAATTATGCAATGTAGTTTTTTACAATATTATTTTCGGAATTTGAAAATAAAAATACTACTGTGAAGATAATTTCATGGGCTTCTAAGTGAACCTATTGTCATGGTTGAAGAGAACCTACCACGGCCTACCGGGCTGGTGGCCGTGGTTGATTGGAAGTACCAAAACGTTTCGTCTCCTACTGTAGTAGAAATCATCGGTGGTTGATTGTTATAAAAGACGAAACGTTTGTTACTTCAAGATCCATTCGACCATGGCCTACCAGCCTGGATTTTGGTCTTACTTGAAAACTTAGGGGTGACAGTTACACTAGCTTAGGGGTGGAAGTATCGAAGATAAAAATACTGAAGAAGAATTTCCATTTTGAGTTAAAAATTGACTAGTTCGTTTGGCTACCCTGTATATACACTACTCATGTAACATATTTTAATACATCCACTATTTTAATAACCAGTAATTATTGCAAATCTACATTATTGAACATTTCACAAAAACCCGGAACCTTTAACGTTTCCCTGACTACTGTCTCGTTTTTTTTTTCATCCGATAGTTTCTCAATTATCAACCCTTTAGGGAAATAATTCTTTTTTGACTGTCCCTAATAAATAGAACGACGTCGCTCTTTCTTTCAGCTGATTTATTCAAAGAATATTTCTAAAAATCAGTGAAACGATACATTAAACACCGGAGGTTGAACAAAATCAGCTATTATGGAAGTCCTTCAAGGTCGGAACTCCTCAACCTTTTTCTCCTCTTTCTCGAACATGTGGACTGTGTCATCATCAGTTTCTAATTCCTACAATTCTAATCTTTTTCATCCTAAATCTTTTATATCCACGCATCGGAGTCCTCTTGGAGGCGGACTTGGATGTTATATTAAATTTTAAATGACTTCGTCATTTTTATTTTGTTCATAATATCCTTCACTTGAGATACATTTGAGGTAATTTCTCAATTACCGTAAATCAACTTTCACAATTGAAGTATAATTTTCTTTTTTCACCAGTTGTTTGAGCAACTGCTCTGACCATGAGTCTAAAGAAGAAAATAATATTTTTAACTAATTTTATTTCATTTAGTTTTTTAGCCAATGAGTTTGAAAATAATTCAATTTTTGAATGTTGGGGCAGGAGTTGAAGAAACCAGACCAACAGCTGCAGAAATTAATAGTTTATGAAAACTCTGGGAATAAAAAACCGAGCTTAATAGTACAAAGTGGTTACTGGTTATAATAGGTACTTGGTGAACGCTATATGAATAGAAAAGGAAGGTACTAGTTTCAAGTCATAGAGAAATATTTCAATTTTTGTTTAAGGTAATTCATTTTTACTCTTGTAACAATAAATAAATAACAAATCTTGGATTAGAATTTAAACATTTTTCATAAATAATTTTTATCGAGAGTTCAATGAAACATATTTACATACGAACATATAGTTAACAACCACAATTAAATTTGATAATTAATTCCACTACGGCGTCTGTCCGCAGTATTTCCCAATATCATCGGAGACACAGTCGAAAACATCGTACGCAATATCACACGTTTTCCCATGTTCTGAAAAAGAAAAGTTTAGATAATTTAATCAGAAAAACATGTGTCATTAAAAGTTGGGAAATTGAGGTTACGTGTGTGACAAAATGAAATTAAATGAAGAATGATAAAAGGTGTATTATTTCTCATATATTTACAGTATTTTCAGTCATATAACTCATAGTTTAATGGATTGTATATACTCGTCACTTTTTTGACAAGATGAGTATGACAAAGGAAATTGTCAATCGATGTATCTTGCCATGATGGAGACTTTAATCCGTAGTATATACGGGATATCTCAAATAAAAGTGGGCATGGGCAAAAAACGGTCGGATACTTCAAAGTTGTTTTTGAGGAGCGCATGTTTTCCTGAATATTTTAGTTTTGAATATGCAACCGTAAATTTGCATCTCATTTTGAATGTTATTCAATTGTTTTTAGTGGTATCCCTAGAAAATAAAAAAGAAAGTACAAAAAATTGATTCTTAGAGTTTGGTTTGGAAAGGTGCAAACACTTGAAAATATGAAATAATTGATATCAAGTGGAACATAAAATGGTACAAATTTGGTTTTATATGACTTGACCTATATTCAGGGCCGGATTTAGGGGAGGGCAGGCGAGGCTACTACCCGGATCCTCCACAGGAGAGGGACCCCTAAAGTAAAGATAAAAAAAGTATCAATATTTTTGACGGGTCAGCAACTTTTCCGTTTTTCCTTCCAAACATTTTTTTTTGCATTTTTACTAAGAATGCTTGCACAAACATAATAATATTGTTATTGATATATCTGATTGCAAGTTTCCATTCACTATCAATTTTTGATTTGATCGAACATTCCAGTGGAAATACTTTTTCTATATGTGATTTGTATCCCTGAGTTGAAGAGAAACATAATAAGTGAAAAATCCGAGAAACGGTTGATCCTGCAGGTCAATAAAATCACTTCTATTGATCGCGTTGATTTTCGCCTGCTTCCCCGATGAGACGAGCCGAAGGTTGACACGAACATTATTGAAGAAATAATAATGGACAAACTACTATGTCTTCTGGACCACGTGAACATGAAGTATTTGAGTGTGCAGACGTTTTGATCATGATAATCTAGAGTTAATAAAATAACATTGAGAGGTGACGTAAAAATAGCATATTCCGGTTGAAACGAGCTACCCTGAAAAAGTTATTTGATATTGATAATATAAAAATATCATGGAACATGTCTAGTTTTTTTTTCAGGGGGACCCATTTCTTACTTAAAAAATTAACGATTATCAGCCACCGACTCTCCACAACAACTCTCATCTGAAAAATTTTAAATATAAATAATAGTCGAGTGGCACGTCAATTGAAATGTATTTCAATTCTGCATCCAAACCTGTAAAATTTTCAGACCTCTAATATTTTCGGAAAAAAATAAATTCAGTGGAAGTTCAACCTCATCCAGCTTTTTTGAAAACCACTTGATTCTCAGATGAATGTACCTTTTATCTGAATAGACAAGTAAATCGAAACTGCAGTGATTCAAATATAATTGTGGAATGCCGAATTCACACCCAATATTCTAAAAAAAATAAATTTTTGGTCAGTACTTTTGTTTAACGTGTTTAAGACCATTCTTCTTGAAATAAAATCTGAATGGTGAAGGATATTTTAATTTGTTGTATTCACCATATTATTAAGTTATGCCGAGCATTAACAACGCCATCCAGTCAGATCCTCTATTACGAAATAGGGTAGTTTTTCAACAATATTGGACTTCCCCTTATTGCATAATACCAGTGTAACAGTTCCTTCATAATAACTTTTCGGGTCGATGGAAAGATATGTTCTACAGAAAGGCCACCCCAAAACCAGCAGAATTGTTTTCTAATGTCATGGTGCTGCAACAGTTTCATTTTATTGGTATTTTATAATTACTCCCAAAATGCTAATTGATTATATTAGACCAGCCGTGAACACAATACAGTTGTAGGCAATAAAAGTGTTTTATAAATTTGTCTTAGAAACGTTTATAAAATAAAATTAAAAAACCGTTATGAAATAGTCAGGAAATTATCACACAGCAGCGTTTTTACAACTAACATATAAAACATATTGTCATATAAAAGTAAATTGATTGTAGCAGTTTTATAGCACTTCTCTGCGAGGTTTGTATGATCTTTATGAAACTATTGCAGGCTTATTTTATAACTGCTTCCTGTAGCTTTAATGAAATCATTTTATTGAGATGCTTTCAAACACAATTTTGTTTTTATTACCATATTGTCACTCTAATGATAATTTCTCAATTATTTTATAATATCGTATATTTACTACAATTCCAAAACAATAAAATAACTGTTATAAAATCAAACTGCTGTCGCGAATATTTATTTGCTGTCGCCAACAATAAAATGCAGCATTTGACTAGCGTCCCAATAACTATATACCTGAAAATGTCGCGTAATATTGGTCATTGGAAAAAAATGGTTCGTTTTAGACGAAGACCCACGTAACCTATTGCTTCAACTTTGTTCTTACTTCAAACAGGTCTTCTTGACAACTTTTCAAAATAAACTAACAAGGTATTTTCGGAACAAGAATTTACCTTGGCTTTCATTTTCCATTTCATATTTTTCTCTTGATGTGCTTGGTAGCAAATTATTGCAAACATCTATCGATTTCTGAATAATTTCTGGAGGTGTATTTTCCAACTCTAAATCTTCGTATTCCATTATATTCAATATTTAATAAATCTAAACTGTTTATACTATAACAGTCAACAATAAAACTATTTTCGTTGGGTAAGTTGACAGCAATAATTATATAATAATAAACTATATGTTTGTCAATAAAATTTAATTCGCAGTTGAAATAGCAATATTTCAAGCACAAACAATGTCTTTAACGATTTTATAAGTACAAAAGTGAAAAATTTCAACACTTTTTTATTTTATTGTTATTGTTTTGGGCTGCATTATATTCTTGGGGCTACTAAAAAACTCATATAAAATTGTGTTTTAATTATTTCTCAAGAAACTTTACAAAACCACTTTTTCTTAGAAAAATTTTATAGTAACTGCCGAAATGTTTATAAAACTGTTTTGTAGTGTTTGTTAACCTTACAGAATATCAATAAAGACTATAGGTAATGTTTCATAAAACAGTGCAAATTTGTTACTTATAGCTGTTTTATAAACACATTGAAAACATTTCTTTTGGAATTTTTGATATGTTCGTTGTTATGAGAACGGGATTGGTTTCACATATAAATTTGATCCTTGAAAACTGAAGTTGAAGTGTTTCCCGATTTTTTAGTCTCAATATCAAATGATGTAGTTCTGTTTGATGTAGTTCTGATGTAGAATTCTGGGTGGCTGGAATGCATTGTGTGTTAGAAAAACACCAAGAAAACAAGAAAGATGTTTTCGAGGGAGGTTAAATATCTTTCAACAGTCCTCAGTTGGACTGGTGGCTACTATGTAGTGAAACGCGTATTGAATATGAAGTTTCATTGTGAAAAATTGTAATTTATATCATGAAAGTAACATGATTTCGTGAAAGTCAGTGACTTCAGGCTTGTACAAGTTTGTAGAACTCTACTTACCAGATATAGATTGAGGAGTGATCAAATGCTTTTTCTGAGCGTGATTCACACAATGATTTACTGCCTGCATAGTTGCTAGAATATAGTCTTTTTGGGAAATTCCTTCTGTATAAAGACTAACCAGTCCATCAACGGTGGGGAATCCTTCTCCGTTCACCTTCAAAGAAACAACATTCCAACATTATTCTATGATGACCTTAACAAAGCTGAAGTGTATGCACATATTATTACGATTTTCTACTTCTGTCAGTGCCACTTCAAATATATATTACAGTTGTTTCGATATAGTCAAGTTATTCCATTAGTTAATTACTCAAAAGAGGAGTAATGGATTTTCTATTGAACCTTAGGGAAGTTGAACTAAATGGCCCGAAATTATCAAAAGATAGTGATTGTACCTAATGGAACAAGCAGATTCCATTTAATTTTTTTTTAAATTTCACAAGCTACCGTTCCCCAAGAAAGCGAACAGAGTTTATCTAAAACTTCTCAGTCATCTTTATAATTAAGGAAATCCTAGGAGTGTTACTCTATTGGAGAATATTAGATATACATATGACATGACTCCAAATATTTGAATAGTTTTAAATCAAATCATGGTTACTTCAATTCCAAAACATAGAAACACATAGAAATATTTCTTTGTGGAGGTCATTGGCATGTGAAACATTTTTGTTTTCAATTCCTACATGTTGATATGATGATAGTTTTTCAAACTCAGAACGAAATTTTTTATCATTATATCAATTTACATATTATAGCAGGGTATACTATCTTGTTATAGAGAAAGTTCATGGAAGATTGGTTGTAGTGACCACTTAATGAGTAATGACCGAGTTTCAATTATATAAACGTATTGCGTAACATGTACGTGAGGAAAGATCAGGAAAGAGATGTTACGGTACAAGAAATGTTGAATGTTCAACATTCTGCTCGAGGATCTCCCTTGAGGTATGAGAAAAAGAGGTGAAAGCGGTTAAAGGAGGCATCTAATCGACTTGAAATATGGTTGGTGTTCATTATTCCGGTGACATTGCTTATATAATATTTTTATAATAGAAAAAAAGATGGCAGTGGAATTTTGAGACTGATTGTCTATGAATAATTGGGGAGTAACGGTATTTTGCAAACTGTCCTATGTCATGGGCGTGGATAAAAAAATAGTTCCCGCCAACTTGGGTTGTATGCCATATTGAATTTAGAGTGACGACATGTTATTTCTCGTATTTTTTCACCAAATTCTTCCATTTGGATATATTTAAAGACGTTTTGTACAGTGTATCTGACTCTTACCGCAGTAAAGAAATATTTATTGAATTTACTGTTTGCGGCAGCCCTTTTCCAATGATTTTCATAGATAACCGGAATAGCTGTAGATGTGGTTTTATACCCTTAGCATTTAATACATTTTTTGTCGAAGCAGAATGTTTTTTTTTTTTCAATTGCTCTATTTGTATCTACTCAGATATGTTAAGCTTGTCGCCCACTTGTTCGGCACAGCACAACACGGCCCGTCCCGTCAAAATACGTATAGGATTGAAACAATGAAAATGAATGGACAACCACTCACTAGCCCGACACGGCACAGCCAAGACCGTCCGCCGCCGAAAAGGATTCTATCTCTCCGATCCTGACCGGCAAATAACGGTACGTGCTGTGATGGACTGGCCAAGTGAGCGCGTCGCCGGCCAGCGCTTGCCAGCATCAACTTGTCCAAACGTGCCTGAGAAGTTTTTGTCTCTCTGTTTTGCTATTCCATCAGTTGACAGCCCGGTGTCAGACGGTAGCTCTGAAGATGAATTGAGTTGCTCGTTAAGGCAAGCTCCAGAATATCCAGAAGTTCTGAAAATTTGCCTGGAGTCATTCGGAAATACTGGAAAAATATCTCCTCGTCTTCTTTCAGGTCGTTGAAAATATGATGAAACTCTCACAGATTTGCCCTATTTTGACTAATGGGATGGATCCACACACTCCTTTTTTGTGACTATTTTCTTCTACATTCAATAATGCGGCCACTTCTTCGTCAGAAACACACTTTTGTCTAGTCCGAAATGGTGTAATAGCCGAAACTAGTCACTATTGTGACTAGCCGAAACTAGTCACTATTGTGACTAGCTTCGGCTATTACACCATTTTCAAAACTAACTGATTACATTCAAATCTGAGTAATTTAAACCTAAGTTGCCTATCCTATCATAAATAATTTGGTACCTACATTTTGTATACCTGTAATAACAAAACAAAGCTTTTGATATAATGTAGGTTCTGGGAACTGGATTATAGATTCAGTAGAGGACTATTATTTAGATCAAGTTGAGAATAATAGAATTGGGATTTTTCTTTGACTTGTTTATTTCCATAGATTCCAACAGATGCATGTTTGAAGGATCTTTAAATTGTCTTTATCTATTTTATGTTTCTAATTTTGAAGATGTTCGTAGTTCCCAGAACCTTCATTATATCAAAAGCTTTGTTTTGTTATTACAGGTATACAAAATGTAGGTACCAAATTATTTATGATAGGATAGGCAACTTAGGTATAAATTACTCAGATTTAAATGTAATCAGTTATAGTCTATTTCAAAAGAGTGTAGAGTAATAAATCATGAAGTGTCATAAAATTTGCCTGAATTTCGTTGTCGTCCATGGGCGTAGGCAAATCTTAGGATTATTAAACTTAATAATTAAAGTAAATTAAAAATTACAGACATAGATAATAATAAAAGGCCATTTTTGGGAAGTAATTTGGTCTAAAACTAAGTACCTACATGTATTTAGGTAAGTAAAATTTCTTAAAAAAAGATTAAGATTAATTTTAGTGGTTCTTGTAAACTTATTTAATATGCAATTTGGGTTCATATACTTGAGCATGATTTCTCAAAAAAGGGTTAACACTTAGTTCCGAGGTGCCATGTCATTATAATAATCCCTTTTTGACCCTGCCCACCAATCATGCAATACCTATTAAACCCAGGTAATTAAGAAAAAGGGTTTAAATATATTGTAATGGTGTCTTAAACATTCGAGTTATAATAGTAATTGTTACTACACCAATTAAACGTACAGTGATATTGTGATATAGAAATAGTGAAAAAGTTATAAAATGGGGACATTTACTCCAAAGAAAAGAAGTGTAAAAAATTCTCCGCTATCTGTTTGCGAAAAAGTTATAATTTTAAATGTATATGATTGCATAAAACACGATCACCCTAGTTTGTCTGTGCAAGAAAGTGTTGAGCGATGTGCCCGAATGACTGGAATTGGACAGTCCACGATTTTTAAATTATTGCGAGAAAGAAAGATATCAGGCCAGGTAAGTCCATGCAAGAGAAAATCAGGAAGACCAATAAAAATCTTAGATGAAGACACCAAATGTGACATTCGAAGAAAAGTTCATTCGTTTTATTTTAAAAAGGAAATACCCACTCTTGAAAAAATATTTATCGAGATAAGCCAAGATAACGATATTCCTTTGATTCCAATTAGGGTATAAATAGAGTGTTGTTAAACGTTAAGGGAAGTTCACAGTTTTAGTATTGTTCAAGTGTCAAATTGTAATAACGTATCCAGTAAAGTTCTTGTCGTTTTTGTGAATAAATTGATTTAAAGTCCCCACAAGTGTTTCAATACGTAAAGTTCGTTCGTGTGTGTTTGTGAGTATTTCCCGATTTCGGTTCGTATATATTTTATTGTTACATTTTATATTTTTTTAATAACACTGTTCTGCTGTATTAAATTTTTATTTCCTTTAATATAATTTTTATGAATGCATATTCTTTTGGCAATTATCCCACTAGCGCGCCTCTGGCTCAGTATTTATCCGTCGATAACAATGGACAAATCCCTTAAAACAGGGTGATACCTACCTGCTCTTTATGAAACGACATAATTTTGCAATGCGGACTAGGGAAGTGACAGAATTTATTGACGGATCACCCTGTAGCGCTTTTGAATACTTAATGAGATTTTATTACTCTACACTCTTTTGAAATAGACTATAGTTTTGAAAATGGTGTAATAGCCGTAACTAGTCACAATGAAGAAATAGCGTGGAAAATAGACAAAAGTGTATTTTTGTAGTGTATCCTCAGTGAACATGAGTTTCCACAAAATAAACAAGTCGTCAATCAAAGAAGTTCTTCGTCAGAACTGCTAGTGATAAACATGTTTCTGTAACTGCTCGATGTCAACTGAAATACCCTTGAAATCGAACATACAGCATCTTCAGTATGCTGGTTGTAGCTGAACAAGTTGGCGGTGCTACTACCCGTCGCCCTCAAGCGACGGTCATCGCCGTGCTGTGCTGTGCCGGACAAGTAGTCGAAAAGCTTCATAGTTAAGCTTGTTGTCCAATTGTCTGGCACAGCACAGCATGGCCCGTCTCGTCAAAATTCGGATAGGATTGGAACAATCAAAATGAATGGACAACCGTCCACTAGCCTAACACGGCACAGCCAAGAGCGTCCGCAACTGGAAAGGATTCCAGCTCTCCGATCCTGTTTAGCAAATAACGGCACGTGCTGTGACGGACTGGCCAAGTGAGCGTGTCGCCGGCCAGCGCAGTGCTTGCCAGCATCAACTTGTCCAAACATGCTGGGAAGTTTCTGTCTATCTGTTTTGCTATTCTATCAGTTGACAGCACAGTGCCAGACGGTACCTATGAATATGGACTGGGAAATATCGAGTTGCATGTTAAGGCAGGCTCTAGAATATCCAGAAGTTCTGAAAATTTGCCAGAGTCATTCGGAAATACTGGAAAAATGTCTCCTCTTCTTCTTTCAGATCGTTGAAAAGATGATGAAACTCTCACAGATTTGCTCTCTTTCAATTAATGGGGTGGACCCATAATATTCTTTTTTGTGACTATTTTCTTCTACATTCAGTACTGCGGCCACTATAATGACGACTTCTTCGTCAGAACTGCTAGTGGTAGACATGTTTCTGTCACCGCTCGATGTCTATCACTAGCATTCCTGATGAAGAAGTCATCATAATAGTGGCCGCAATATTATCAAAATATATCATTATATCATTAATCAAAAATCTGGGAGTTTTTCATTATTCATTCAACGACCTGAAGGCGTAGGAATTTCCCCAGTATTTCCGAATGACTCCAGGCAAATTTTCAGAACTTCTGGATATTCTAGATCATGCCTTAACAAGCAACTCAAATTTTCCTCGTCATAGGTATAGTCTATCCATTCCCATTGTCAACAATAGATTGAAAAGCGAACAAATTAATTTGCAGGTAGTGGTTCCACTATGGTCCGTTCATAATTTGTTGATAGCTCACTGCAAGTTTGATCCTCATTAGAGAACTGAAATACAGAGAGGACAGCTAATATGATATAATAACAAAAACCAAACTAAAACTGGCAGTTTAAGATGTTTTCGACTAACCCACCTTGTATCTGAAGAAATACAATACAGCTATAAAACTTTTAATCCGATTATGTAGGTATTTTGAGTGGAAATGAGTGACCAG